TTTTGATTGGGCGAACAGTGTAATCATATTGAGCGACGAAAAGACTTTCAAGTCGGATAAGGATGGGCGTAAAATATTGTGAAGAAAAGATGGAGAAAGGTATACGAATTGCAACCTTCTGCCTTGTAGGATCAGTGATTGTATTGATTTCGGAATCAATTATTGAGCCTGTCAAACTCTGCCTTTATTAAAATTAACATAAAATAATGTTTAATTTTTTTAAGAATATTAAAATGCTGTCTAGAACATACGGTGAAGTGATGTTATTGTTTTGTGGTTAGAAATTGTCATAATTTCTTTCTATTCAACATGTTTATTCACTTCACTTTAATTTTTCATTAACAAATTTATTTAACTGCTTTCGAACTTGATTGACATATTATATTTACGCCCATCTTCAATTAATTTAAAGTTTCCCTGATTCTAAAGGTCATGAAAGTTAAAATCGTTCCATAGCATTCGTCACATTCTTTTTACTATCATACAGCCCACTGAATATTGAACCTTATAACAACCGTCGTAAAATAGATAATTAATGGAAGTTCAAACGACAAAAAGTCGCCCATTTCAAGAAATATTATGTTGACAGTGTAATTTTTTACATGTTTTACTTGTTTATTACTGTAAAACTGTAATTTAATAATACATTATATTATTAAATTACAAAACAAGAATGTTGTATATTTGTTTATTACCTACTTAATAAAAAATGTTGCTGCCATCGTATTACCGCTGTACCGCATGATATTTCCCGATTCGACTATGAGGTTTATTGTCATATCTATTAATTATGATTTAAAGAACTTTAAACTTAACATGTGGTATATAATTAATTATTAGATATAAATATTGAATATAAAACAACATATTTGTATAATAAATAAATTAATTGTAATAAAAAATAGTATTGTTTTATTTACCAACTCATTTGCTTCTTTTATAGCCTGATATTTATTTTTATTACAAAAAACAAAAAAAAAATAAGAAAAATAACAAGGTAAAATAAAATTAACTTTTAGCTGGAATAGAACCCACATCATTGATCCTTGAAAGACGATAAAAGCGTGCTCATTAACCAATCGACCACGAGCACTACGATAATGACAGTGAAAATGTCGGGTCATATCAATGATTGTAAATAGTTTTAACCTTACCTATGCATTAAATTATAAAAATACGTATACCGACACAAGAATGAAAATACCAATGTGAACGTGGTGGACGAATATTTTTATATACAGTTATATGAAATTACGCACACATGTACACTGTGTAAATGACAGTTGTGTCGATGTGTAGCGCTGCAACTAATTAGCGGTGCTTTGTGTACAACCCACTTTTCACTATTTATGTTATGAGTTCCATGTAATAGGGGTGAGCCTTTTGCCATATAAAGGCCACAATTCCAGACTCCGTGCTACGACGGATTTTTTTTTTAAACCCAGTAATCCTTGCCCGACCCGGGAATCGAACCCGAGACCCCTTGCCCGACAGTCGCACTTGCAACCACTCGGCCAACGAAGCAGTCATTGTATGAACTACTGTTAAAAAAAATGGTAATCTGCCTACCTCGATGTAGTTAAAATGGTTTAATGTTATATTATTTCTTAAATCACTAAAACCCTAATCTTGGCAAACATAAATATTAAACGACCCAACATCGATATGTCTTAGAGTTTGAACTAGAAAATCGTTATTTAGACAAAAAATGTTCAAGGTCGACCGGTTCACGTATATAATAACTTTTCAAATAAGGCCGGCTATTCGATACACGACTTGTGAACAATTTCCAATACTCGTTGTGTGAAAAGAATTTAATATAGCTTCGGTTTGATGCCTGAATATATTTTTTAATTATTTTCGGTACAGATACCTATACTAAAGTTTGTTAATAAACATTCAGGAGTTTGCTAACAGTGTAACAATTATCGGATAGCTTTGTGCGAGGTATTGTTCGTATGAAAGTTGTACTTGTTTCTCGCATTGCATCATGATGGTTATTTTCTAAAGGTAACAGGAGAGGAAGAGGTGAAGGAGTCGCGTTGGCTCGGAGGTTTAAGACGCCTGCTTCTCATGTATAAGGCTGCGGATTAAAAACTTTATGTTAAACCTATGTACTTTCTAAGATAGTTTAGACATCAATGACAAACGGTGAAGGAAAACATCGTGAGGAAACTTAAGCTTATAATTTCTTATTATAAGGTTGAAATTGCCAACCCACATTGAGCAAGCGTGGCGATTAATGCTCAAACCTTCTCCGTGCGAGAAGAGACCTTTGGTCAACAGTGGCCACTTATAGGCTGTTGATTGATTGATTGAACAGGTGGGGAGTAGGTTTTCTATTTTTATCTTTTATTAAATAAGGAAACGAAGTGTAGTTATAATAGTTAATTATAATTATTAATGTATTTTTTTTTGTATCCCGCTCTCCCGTGCCCACGTGGGAGATGGGACATCGAGGTAGTTTAGTAAGCAAAAGCCGTAACCCTTTTTTTTCACCAGACAGGAATTCCTCCTTGGGGTCAAAAAAGAACTGTAACTAAGTTAGGGTTAAATTTCATTTACAATTAATATAACTTAGGTACTGAATCGATTCTGATGACATTAACTAATTGGAAAAGACTAATTAAAAAACCCAAAATACTGCCAGACATACAATGCCGATTATACGCGATAATGTATGTATGATATGCAAAAAATATAAAGTAGGTGTAAACATTTGATTGTATTACATAAATAATAATATTCGTTTGTTGTTTGGTGATATTTAATAACTATGCAATAAAATAACAAGCCGTAAGTAACACATGTTTCCAACATTCATATGAAATTGATTTTCCATTATGTTTATGATTGTTTTCTCTCGCCTCATCAATTTAATCCACCCGTTTCAATCGAGCCCAGTTGCATGTTACAATAATTACGTTGTTACTGGAACAATACACAGTGATATATAATAATTAGTTTAATGTTGGCTATAGGCTGTTAACACATCTATACTAATGTTATAAAGAGGAAAGATTTGTACCTATTTTTATATGTTTGTAGGTTTGTAATGAATAGGCTCAAAAAGTATTGGGCCAATTTAAAAAAATCTTTCACCAATAGAATGCTACATTCTTCTAATTTGACATAGGCTACATTTCATTTTGAAAAAAATAGGGGTCCTTGGTAAGATTTGAACATTGTAACCAAATGTGTAGAAAAATGAGTCTTTCAAAAAACAGAATAAAATTGAGACACAAACGCGAAATAACAATCGACAAAAATCTGAAATGTTTATAAAATAAATTCGACGGTCGATATCTTGATAACGGTTCAGTTTAGGATATAGGGCTCCTTAATCAAATCGATCAGGAATAATGGATACTACAACATCTTAAAGGATTTAGGACGACTTAACTTGTAACCTATATAATTATAATTATAAATGAATTTCCGTTCGTTATTCTCGCTAAAACTCGAGAACAGCTGCAGCGATTTGGTTAAATTTAATCTTAAAATGTTCGTGGAAGTCAAGGGAAGGTTTAAAAGTTGGGAAGTAAACTTTTTAGGTAATACAAAGTTTGCTGGGTCAGCCGGTTTCCTGATAAATATCTCAATCTTTTATTTTGCAATGAAGGAGCACGTAAATAAATTAGCTACGAATCTCATTATGTCAGCCGCAAGAGGTCTACTGCTAGACGTAAGCCTCCCTTAATGACATCCAGCAACGTTATGCGACCTTAATCAGGTTGCCTACCCAGGGGATGATGTTAAGGGGTATACATCTTTTTTATTATTAGACAAGAATATTTTTGTTCCATCAGTAAATATTTTTTTTATGGCATAAGCCGGTAAACGAGCAGACGGATCACCTGATGGTAAGCAATCGGCGTCGCCCAAGGACACCTGGAACACCAGAGGCGTTACAGGTGCGTTACCGGCCTTTTGGGGATTAGGAATTTGAGGATCGTTGGGAATTAGGAATTGGGGAGATTAGGGAACAGGAGGGTAATTGGGCCTCCCCATGTTGTACTAAGAATCTCTTCATAAAATAATTGCATAGTCATTTTCCATACATGTTTTGCAATTGAAATTTAAGTATTCTTGTCTCTCTGTTTGTATATCCCCTCGCTACAAATTGGAGAAGGTTTCAGATATTAGGAAACAGTAACAACATCACGCCTTTTACGTCTACAAAAGAGCCGGCAGAAATATTAATAAACCATGTAACACCAACATTTCACAGTTGTGTTATGGAGCCCTCCCCCACGTACGCTAAATTAGCCTATATATACCAAACTATGCGGAATATTACGAAAAATATATAAACAATCGAAATTGTATGTCTTATCTTATACTATTATATAAAGCGCAAGAGTTTGTTTTTTTGTTTGTTTGTTCGAACGCGCTAATCTCCGAAACTACTGGTTCGAATTGAATAATTCTTTTTGTGTTGGATAGTCCAGTTATCGAGGAAGGCTATAGGCTATATAACATCACGCTACGACCAATAGGAGCTAAACAGAGCGTGTGAAACCGCGCGGAAGTAGCTCGTATTGTATAACTTTAGTGGTAAGTGTTGAGAATAACATCATGATATTTTAATATTGTTTCTATGTATCTTTATTACTCAATCCCGGCAAAACGCCTAAAAGGACCGGGATGAAATTTAGAAAAAACGGGAAGTTGGATTGGAATACCACACAAGCTACTTTTTATACCCACGGGAACACGGGCGAATTTAGTATCTAATAAAAAACGTAAACAAGTATGTAAATAGAGCATACACACAGAAATTTAAAGGATTGAAACACCAAAAAATACTGATCGACAAACTCTCTTATCCAATGGACCGTCACGGCTGTTGAAATCAAAAAATCTATAGGCAATACCTAGTCAATCTCAAATTTAATGGAACATTAAAAACTGTTTTGTAACTTATAAATTCAACAGTAAAAGTATAAAAGTAATATTTTCTGTTTTATGTGCATTTTAATGCCCTAGGCACTAGTAGCATGTTTCAACAGAATATATCAATTCTATTTTTTATAATAGTAAATGTGTCGGCATCACACAAAAAGTCATTGAGGATACTCTATGGAGATGAATTTAAACCAGACGAGTTCCCGTATGTTGTTACTCTGAAATATTATACTATATACGTATCGTGCACAGGCAGCATACTCAACGAAAATTGGGGTGTAACAGCCGGCCACTGCAGGCCGAACCCACAGAGGAATAACACTATTAGCATCTGGCACAGCAGTTTTCGATCGATAGATATGTTTTCCAAAATATATCCCATAGTAGTCGAATGGAAGGTACACCCAGCTTATCGACTGTTTAACTTAGATGAACATCCAGACCTAATAGTTGACAACGATATAAGCCTGTTCCGTATTGAGCCAAGTCTCAAATTGAGTAGATACGCACGGCTCTCATCTCTGGACCGAGGCAGTTTGGGCGGGCTGCCTGTCGTCTACATTGGCGGTGGAAAAACCAATAACACATCTTCAAGAAGAGTAGAACAATTTAATATGTATACTTTAAAAAAAGGTGAAGGTGTCATAGTTGCATGCAACAAATATATGACCACTAAATCCAAACATATTCTGTGTATAAGTCCAAAATGTGATGTTTATTTGCAAAGCCCTTGGCATGGGGACTCTGGCGGACCATTGATATACAATGATCAGGTTGTTGGTGTATGTTCATTTGGGAGTATTAAAGGGAGAATCATTCAAAATGCTTTTGTTCCTATTAGTCCATATATAAATTGGATTTCTGATGTAATACAAATTAAGGGATAGCGAGAGTTTACGTCCATGTACCTGCGTTTTTGTGCTCTACCAACCAGGATAATGTGAATACCCATTTTTGCTGTTCTGGAGAAGACTGTTATTGCATCATTGATGTATTTAAATGAAGCCAATGAAGGCAGAGGGATAGTCATTAGTGGCTCTTATAACAATATATGTACATTTAACTCAAGTACCTGAGCACTAAGTTGAATACCTTTTATACATACGTAGTGTAAGTGAGGTGATATGACATGCAACTATTATAAATCAAAAGAAAGAATCGACTGATTTAAGAAGAATAAAATCATGTAGTCGTGATTTAGAAATACAATTGTAATATTATTTTTCTGAGAGTTAACGGAAAGTTTGTGTTTATATCGATCGGTTCAGATGCACATTGCACAACGACGAAGACTATAAAATAAAATTGAGAAAAATACATTCTTAATGTTATAAACGCGGCACGAATGTGGTGACTCGATCAAAGTGATACCACGGCTCCACAAAAAACCAGCGTGAAACAACACTGGTGTTTCGCCGTATAAAAGGCAGGCAACGTACTTGTGATACCTCCGGTGATACCTGAGCGACACCGGTTGCTTCCCATCCAGTAATCTGTGTGTTAGTTTTACGGTCTGGACCATAAAAACATGTGGAAATTGTTATGTTGCTAGATTAATTATAGTCGAATTTGTTTTACTTGGATTTATTACAATAATGTGCGACGTGTACACACACCAGAGTATGACAAATAAACAGCAACGTTAATAACGAGTGTCCTACCTCATATAACACATTATAGTGAGGGAGCCACTACTTACTAATTAATCATGTTAGTACAGACTAAACATACATGTAACAGAAATCGAATATCTGACATGGGTTATTATGGACATAACGCACGTCTTTAATATCTCTAAAGGGGTACACATGGCAATCCTTTTGCACCGCAACGCACCATAAACTTCTGTATGTACTTGTATTGTTGTCTACATGTGTATCGTCGTAATAAACGGTTTCTCTTTCTTTCACATATACATAGATACATAGACATCTCACTAGTTGAAGTCCTATGTAATAGGGTGAACCTTAACAAGTAATTAGCTTCTACTTTAGTTACCTTTCCTAATCATCATCATCATATCAGACATAGGACGTCTATTGTTGAACATAGGCCTCCCCCAATGTCGCAGAGAACCTTACGGGTTATTGGGGCTCCAGTTCGATGTGCAGGAGAAGGAACGGGGTGGTTTTTAGTCAGTAAGAGTCTGACACTCCCTCCCGCCTCACCCAGGCAGGACCAGTCATTCGATGATTTTCCCCCCTTAAAAAAAATGCCTCCCCCAATGACTTTTAGATAGTCTGGTTGGAAGCGATCTGTATCCAACCGCTCCCTGTTACCTTTTACAGTAATGTGAGAAACGAATATATCCTGACAATATACAAGTGACGACAGAGTAGACTACCTACATTTTACCATCTGTTATTTATCCGCGCATATCACTTGAGTCGCCTAATGGACTACATTATGTAACAGAGGCCGGGCAGCAACGTTTGCTTATATTAAGTCTGCTTATGCATTGTGTATTCGGATGTTTCAAATAACTTGACTGCTCGGCTGGCGCGATGGCTGGGTATCCGGCTGCCGTGCAACGTGTGAATGAAGTAACTCTTTATGTGATCCACAAATTGTTATTTCGGGTGTGGGTGTCTTGTGTATGTAAACTTGTATGTTTGTAAAGGCACTAACGACATGAGGGTAAATCCTGGTGTGGGGCTTTTATTTACCCTCCCACTTCCCTAAAATAGTGGTTCCAGCTTAGATGGAGAATTTCGTAAATTTCCAAGGAAGAAAGCTAAAATTGAGCATCATTTTTTTATTATGCCCCCCACCATGTTAGTTACTAAATATAAATTCAAGGTTGAGAGGTCTTTAACACTTTGCATAACACATAGGTACTTACAAACAAACCGGTTACATATATCTGCGTAATATATTGTTCATTCATAAAAAATATTGTCGATTTCAATCTTCATAACAATATTATGACACAGGAATGTGTGAAATAAGCTATATATAGGTACTGAGTACAGAATATGACTACGTCAAGGCTTTAAATTGGGACGGGGTAAGTAGAATTAAACGAATTATGTTTTACAATGTACCACCCACTACCACCAATTATATAATACGGGCTGAAGTTTCATATCGATTGCACAGTTGGCGTGGTGGTTGGGCAACAGACTGGCTGCCGCGCAAAGTGTCGCGGGTTCGATTCCCGCACGGAACAACTCTTTGTGTGATCCACAGGTTGATATTCCGGGTCTAGGTGTCATGTGTATGTGAACTTGTATGTTTGTAAACCCACCCATGATACAGGAGAAAATCCTAGTGTGGGTCAACGTTTTTTTTTTATATACAATACTGGGTTATAATCCAAACTCCGTGCTGTTACCAAGAATTTTCTAAAACCCGAATAATCCCCATCGTGTTCTGCCTAACTTGGGACTTATGAATCTAATTTATATAAAATACTTTATTCATTCTTCGCAACAAATAAAACTAGTATTCAAATACCATAAAGCATTTTTGTCAAAACCAAAATTACACAAGACACATCTGCATTTACAAATTGCCCACCGAATATATATCCAATTTAAATATAAGCGATTTTGGTGAATTTGTAGTATTCATTAGCGTTTAACATTAAAATATAATGCACCAATGAAAATTATCTGTTAACAAACTGAAATATAAAGTGGTTTACTATTTAATTTAATGTTCCAGTAACTTCATTATGTTATTAACTTTAGAATATTGTAAATGAATGTATTGTAGAATTTAATACATCAAAGTTGTTTTGATATCTCTTTCTGGAATTGCTTTAGTTCCGAAATGTAAAGCTTAGGTTTCTATACTCCAGAAATCAGGTAGGTAACGTCAGTCAGTTGCCCCGACAGAGGTTTGTGATCCTAAATATTTTTTTTTAAGGGGGAATATCATCGAATGTCTTCTCCCGCCTGGGTGAGGCGATGAGTGTCAGACTCTTACTGACTAAAAACCACCCCGTTCCTTCTCCTGCACGTCGAGCCCGGTAACCCGCGACATCCTAAATAATTACTTGAACTTTTGTTACTGTTCGATATCACTACACACTGATCGTACAGGCTGACCTTAAGTCGCAAAATCGAATCGCAATAAAAAGTCTGTCAGTGAACAGGTAGTATTAGTATGACTATGTTTTATCTTCAAGTTTTTTTTAATGTTTCCTAAACTATTGTTGACATAAGCACCGGATTTAAAAATGAGAACATACCCTACATGTTTTGTTCTCACTAAAAGCTATTGGAATAAGACTTTGTTTTCATTTGGTGTTTTTTATTATTATTAAGTTTTGTGTCTTTCCATTGTTCTCACATATGCGTACAATATTGGATAATGTATCAGAATATTTTTTAAAAGCGTAACGAACGAAGTTTCTTTCTCGTACATCTCCATTCGAATCTACATTACTGTCTATCTGCCTAGCTGCACTGATGGACAGACTGACAGACTATTTTGTATCTACACTAAATGTAATTATGGTTTTATACGGATCACCTGATGGTAAGCAATTGACGTCGCCTATGGACACCTGGAACACCAGAAGCGTTACAAGTGCATTCCCGGCCTTTTGGGCATTAGAAGTTTGAGGATCGTTGGGGATTCAGGAATTTAGGAGATTGGGGAAGGGGAGGGTAATTGGGCCTCTGGTCCTCACTCACACGACGAAACACAACGCAAGCGTTGCTTCACGTCAGTTTTCTGTGAGGCCGTGGTATCACTCCGGTCGAGCCGGCCCATTCGTGCCGAAGAATGGCTCTCCCACACTTAATGATCTTACTTTAAACTTTAATTTTAGATTGTACTTAAAGTCAATAGTTTCTTAAAACAATCCTTAGCAATTGTTTTGAGAACAACATCGTTGCTAAGGAATAGATGCTAGGATAGTAATGACTAATAACTAATCATTCAATGATTCTGAATCATTCCGTACCTTTTTTTATGACAAGAGAAATCCTTCAAAAGGCGTCTAGCTTTTAGGGGAGAAAGACTATGAAGTGTGGGAATTTACATCACTACAACTACCCCTCAACACCTGTATAGGGCACCGGGTCCTCTAAAAGAGACCTTGAGACCATAGAGTTAAGTAGATAAATTACTTATTACGGCAGTAAGGTCAGGATTATTTTAAAGAAGATTTTTCGTTTAATGTACGGGTAAATGAGTTTGCAAACGTTGTGATTGTCAACTCGTTCTTTTAAGGTACTGGCGAGCGAACATGCAATAAAAGTCGCTCAGCCGTTCACTGTTTATAGTTGCTAGTGTCTATTTTCCTTTAGACATAACACTAAAAGTGTTCTATACAAATTGCTGGTTCTGGTGTGGGTCTAGTATGTATGTCTTATGTTAATACTTTAACTTAGTACCCACGTATTCCAACTGGGATGACGGCAGGGTATGAAAATTAAAAATCTAATTAGTCCATAGAGGTAAGTTAGGTAATAAAAATATATTAGACACGTATTTTTTTTTATTTTGTTGTATCATAAAACAACACTTAGATAAAACGAATCAAAATTTAGAAGTAGGGGCTAAAACGTCATTTCTACGTATAAAATGTACATACATAGAAGTGACGTCACGCGACATTGCAAATCAATATATCGCCGAAAGTACTCGTTTCTGAAAGAAAAGAAAAAATACGTGTCTAAAGTTTTAAAATAATCTATCAGACGGACATTCAAATAAAAATTAGGCATCTACCCTATTGTAACAAGAGGCAAATCCAACAACATGATTATAAAAAAATTTAATTATAAACATATTTAGCAAATTTTTCGAATGTTAGTACGTTTATACCTATTATTGATGTAGGCGTTGTCGCCTACATCGATAATAGCAAACCTTAAAAAATCTTTTCTAGTCTTAGGAATAGAACCCGAGACCTTGTCCTCGACACTTGCGA